AAACTAGTAATATCAGTTACAGTATGATTCTTACTGTTGTTTTTATATGTTGAAGTATTCTGTTTTGAAAGAAGATCCGCATCACTACAATTGGAATGTTGGAAAAGGCCGCCATATTTTTTACGCTGGATCCTTTGAAGTTTTCTGGCGTTGACGAGTCGAACTTGGACGTTGCACACAGAGGACTCTGGATGGTGCAGCTGAATCAGGAGGTAGAAAGGTAAATGAACTCTACCACCAGCGCGTCGGTTGAGGGAGGTGTGCCATCCCTCCATATCATTATTGGTACAGACAGGCTGTCCGTAGAAGCTCCAGGAACTTGGTGGGAAAGTGTTGGTGTTGATCCACTGGTTGTCTACGTAGTCCACCAACTCATGAAGCTTTTGGGCGCACCGTACATTGCCAATAGGTGGTCTCTTTCCAGCACTCTTTAACATTGTAGGTGAAGCCCCTTGAGTCAATCAGCTTGTTTTTTCGATGGATGGTCCCATCATCTATTATTCGGTAGGTCAACTGCTCTGGGACCAGGTCGACAGACTCCGACAGGTGTTTCAAGAATTGCAGGTGTATCTTCATTCCAATGTTAACAGCCACCGTTTTCGGCACTGGGGTGAAGTGAGTGGTTTTAAATAAGGCAGCAACTTTTTTAAAAAAATAATTTATTTAGTAAACATCATTTAACATAACATTACAATAAACTTTACAATAACAGGGCGGCAAATAAAACAGGTTTCCGTTTGTTATTGCAATTTCTCTTTGGCACTGGATTTTAATTTCCAGGAGAACAATGAAAACTTCCAGCTCTGGGGTCTCAAACTTGTGTCTAGCTAAGTAAACGTAACATCTAGCAATTAAGAGATAATAGTTAAAAGTATGAAGGCTGTTAGATTCATGTTTGTCTCCATAAAGAACTTCCGTTGGATTGGGATTTATGTTTTCAGAATGTTTACTATTCCACCAGTCAATGAGTTTTCCCCCAAAACTTTTTACCTCAGGACACGTAAATATATGGCTTAAAGTTTTACAAGGAGCATCACATTTTTCGCATTTTGGAGAAAAGATTTAACTTTCATTTTCCAAAGGCGTTGGTTGGTCGGAAGAACATTGTGGATGAGTTTGAACTGAAAACTTCTTAGCTTATTTTCAATGGTGATTTTAAATAGAAGCTCATAAACGGTACTAGGAGTGAATGTTTATTCTCTTAAATAGGATTCAGTTAATGGAGGGCAGAAAGATCTGTCAGCAAACATTAGTCAGGCATATTTTCCTGAAACATTTCCAACGGTTAGTCGTGTTACCTTTGGTCCGTTAGTGTGTTCCTGATTGCCATGTAAGATAGCATTTTTCCAATCTTTAGAAATCGCGGCCAGAAGACCGCCGTAATCAAGGAAGGTACCACGAATGTGAAAAGTATATTTAAGGTCTAGGAAAGACAGGAAGTTATCGTCAGCATTGAGGATATCTTTCATTCTAAAATGCCTGTACTAACCCATGCTTTATAAAAAACTGTCTTTCCGCCAATCTTAATAAAACGGTTATTCCAAAGTATTTCCTCTTTAATTTCTTTAACACTAAGGGGTACCTTGGAATGAGGGATTTGCCAGACCTTCAAAATGTTCCTATAATAGAGGGGGAGACCTTCTAGATCTAAGAATTTCAAATCGCAATTACACTGAATTTTTCAAGATGAGAGTCAAGAAATGCACACCAATGACCGGGACCAATGATGACCATCCGATGAACAATAGCGATTTACGCAGGCAGCGTAAAGAGATTTTTCTACGTCCACAAAATTGACCATGTTAAGGCCACCTTTGGTTATTGGGCCTGTCAGTGTGTTTCTTTTGAATTTATCAGGCTTAAAGTTCCATATGAAAGGGAAAATGACCTTGTTAACTTCTTGAGCAAAATCGGTCAGAGTATCAAGCACAGAGCAATTATAAACAAGTTTAGACAGTGCTAATGTTTTGACAATAGCAATTCGCCCCAGGATTGACAAGCGCCGACCTGAACAAAGATTTAACACCTTGTTCATTTTAACAAGCCGTTCATCAAAGTTGATTTTCTCTCCAACATGATTTCATAAGCGAAAACTACGCCGAGGGAGGAGACGTATTACTTCAGCCAAGAGATTCTAAAAGGCTTGTCTTTACCTAATCTGTTTTTCCACAATCCCAGCCACAGCCCTTCAGTTTTGGACTTATTTATTCTCAGTCCAGAGAGCGTACTGAATCAATCAAGCAAAGCGAAAAAGGCTACTGCAGACAAGTCGTCGTGAATCAAAGTAGTGGTATCATCGGCATATAAGCTGATTTTAGATTCTTTGTTTCCATTCGTAAGACCTTTGATCGATTTGCTTGTTCTGATCTGAATAGCAAGAGGTTCTACGGCAAGAGTAAAAAGCATCCTGGAAAGCGAGCACCCTTGTCTCACTCCCCTTTTTAGGGGATGAATTCCGAAGCATGTCCATTGTCCACAATGCGGCTAGAGATATTATGATAAAATGTGTGGACCCAGTTGCGAAAACTTGGGCCAAAAAGTTCATTTCCCCTAACACCGGGAAGAGGTAGTCCCATTCTAACGATTCAAACGCTTTTTCAAAATCCAGAAAGAAAATCATTCCTTGGTCATTTTCATGTTGTGCGATGATATCAGAAATAAGACGGATCATCATGTTTTCGCCAATGAATCTGCCCTTGATGTATCCTGTTTGATTACTTCCTATAAGGAGTGGAAGAACTCTCTCCAGCTGTTAAGCAATGCATTTAGTAGCAATTTTGTAATCTCTATTTAAAGCGAAATGGGACGCCAGTTTTCAAGAGACAATAGGTCCTTATCCTTTTTTGGGATTAGCGAAATTATTCCTTGTCTCTGAGAGAGGGACAGTTCTCCTTGTTGAGCTCTGTGATTAAGACAGTCAATCAAAGGGCAAGAAATCTCCTTCCAAAAACAGAGATAGAACTCCGCTGTTATACCGTCTGTTCCGGGGTCTTGTTACGCTGAAAAACTTTATGGCAGATAAGCATTCTGCTTCAGTAATCGAACCTTCACAAAGGCTTTGTGAGACATCGTCTAGTCTTGGTAAAGGTCCAGAATTAAGAAAGTCTGATAGCTGGTCAGGGGAGATTTGGCCTTGGGAAGTATATAATTGTTGGTAGTAATTCTTCCCTTCATTCAAGATAGTTTTCAAGTCTTCTATTGTAGACCCTGCCGAGGATTTCAATTTTTTATGTCTTTTGGTGTAACTTCTTTTCGAAAGGTTGAGAAGATATTTATTACATTTTTCTCCTGATTGATACCATCGAGCTCGGCTTCTGACAATACAACCTCTGGTTTTCTCCTCGGCCATTTGATATAATTTAATTTTTACTTTTTTTGCCTTGTTCGCTAGAGGATTTCCTTCTGGAGCAGCATCAATACGAGCATTTAGATCGTGGAGTTTTCGGAGAAGTTCGGATTCCATATCCTTGTTTCCATTTTTATCATTTCCCAAAAAAGCCTTTTATCAGTAACTTCCCTGTACTTTTCTTAAGCATTTAAGATGAAAAACTTCAATTTTGTAACGAATTCTTCGTTCTCAAGAAGAGAATTATTAAATTTCCAAAACCCTGGTTCTCTAGGTACTTGATCTTCTGGTGTCAACGAGATGATGACAGGCGAGTGATCTGAGTCGTAATAAGCGCTGATATCCGTTTCAGTAACGCATGCTAGTAATTGTTTTGAAATTAGCCAGAAATCTAGTCGACATTTAATCTCTCCTGAGCCATTTGCCCAAGAATAACGCTTCTTATTCGGGTGTTGAGTTCTCCAGACGTCGGCTAAGTCAAAGCTGTTACAAAGTTCCTGAATTGCTTGGATGGTCCTTTTGTTATGGAGTATGTCCCTACCACCTACTTTATCGACCTCTGTCAAAGGACAGTTAAAATGTTAAATGGTAAAATGTAGTAGTACTACTACGGCAAATGGTATCAATGATTTTGTCAAAAAAGTTAACTTGCTGGTTTTGGTCATTGGGAGCATAAATATTGACTAGACACAAATTATCTTGATTAATATCTATGTTTGCGACGAGAAAACGTCCATTTTTGTCCACAGTGATTTCCAGAATATCAACGTTTAGGGAAGGCTTAAACAATATCTGTTTTACGTAGTCATTTACTGCGTATTCCAACGACCACCACATATAGTATAATCAATCACTTGATGTTTATTGATACTAACATTAATAGCAACTGAAGCAACCATATTATTCGATCTGAAACAGAGCAATACAATTCATCGTTGCGCAACTTATAATCTCTAGGACAATGATTTCACCGAAAAATACCTCAATTAGAAACTCTAATTTCACAATCATGCTTTACTCACTGCTGTGGCAGGTCGTAGCTTAAAACGGCTTAGCCTTAAACTGGTTAGCTTGAATCTCTTGTACTGGTGAGCAATACCGGTTAGCAAAATACTTCTGATTGAAACCTGACAGTGTGTAAAACAGCATAAAATCTAGTAATCTCAAAATGTCAATTAATGCCCTTAGTCTTTAACTAAATCAGTGTTTGTAATCACGAGTTTATTTCCAATTCAGTTAACGAAAAATCCTCCACCCTGATAAGGGCGTAGTCCTTATCACCTAATTCACTTTAATTGTATCCCTCTGCTGGGTAGATGACTGCAATCCTTGTCACAGGACGGCTGTAAACTCCCTTGGCCGTTTTCACCTTGATGTTACCTACTTTCCCGTCAGCTCCTGGAAATACGTGTACAATCCTGCCCATAGTCCATGAGCCTCCAACAGCATTCTCATCTGTCACTGTCACGACATCATCAATCCTGACGTTTTTTCGTTCTATGCGCCACTTTCTCCTGGGGACAAGTGTGGGAAACACATCTCTCTTCCATCGTTTCCAACGAGTCTTTGGACGAATTCCACTCTATGCCGGAGATCTCTGGTTTGCTTGAAGGGCCCTTGTGGTACTTGTGATGTCGCCCGTTCTAACAGGATGTCATTAGGGCAGATGTAGGCTCCGTCATCTGGGTCATTTGGATTTCTTCTGATAGGGTGTTGGTTAAAATTAGCGATCTCAAGCAGACACGTGTACAATTTTAATGGCGCCAAAACTTGCTCCCCAACGGCCCCTTTGAGAGCACATTTACATGTCCATTCTGATGGGGTGTTGCTGGGGTTGTGAACTTCCATTCAATGCCTTTTTCTGCACAGAACTCGCATAACTGATCTTCGTCAAAACCTGACCATTTTTGCAATTCTCTGGCGGCCCCAACCATCTGAGATCTATTGTCGTTCCTCATTACGGCTGGATAGCCACGAATGGAGAAGAACCTTCTTAAGACTTGCATAAATTCCATAGTGGAACAGTCCACTGCCATTTTTAGATGAACCGCTCGGGTATTTAAACATGTGAAAATCACTCCGTAGTGCTTTGCGGTCTTGTTTCGTTTGACCTTGACCTTAAAGGGTCCAAAATAGTCACACGCTGTGTAGTGAAATGGTGGAGTTAAAGGTGCCAAACAAACTGAGGGGAGATCTGCCATCTTTTGAGTTTCAACTCTTCGTGCCATTTCTCGGCAAAATGCGCACTTAAATTTGACGGACTTAGCGGGTTTGCTAGCCTTCAGTATCCAGTATCTTGCTCTGATCTTGGCAGTCGTGCTTGCCACTCCAGCGTTTCCACATTGGTGCATGTGTCTTGTTATCAACCATGAAATACTGTGCTCGTAGGGCAGAAGAGCAGGGTGTCTTGAGTCATATGACACTACAGCTTTGTCGACTCTACCTCCAACTCTAATTACTCCTTTGTTGTCGATGAAAGGGCCGAGAGCGTCAAATTCTTTCTTCACGCCGGGTCAGCTGTCTCCAAAAAGTCATCATTACTGCGGTTAGTACAAGTCAGCGGCTATCCCGTAAAACAATATGGCGTCCTTCACCGCGGAACAAGTGTTGGAGGGAGTTTGTTCAAACGGTAACGGTGGTGGCAACTCCAAAGAGCCGGATTGTAGCCTGGAAGAGGTCATAACACGTTCTGTGAACAACTTTCGTCCTTTGAGACGGCTTTTGGACAACTATGACACCTTTAATGTGGAGGCGAGTAGCTGTCTAGAGAATGTCTTCAAAAGGCATGAATCCATAGGGAACAATATGGATAGAGTTCTGTTGTCAAGAGCAAGTGTTTGGCCGATGATCACTGCAGAAGTTTTAATGTGGCTGAAATGTATTAATCGGCGAATGCTAGCCACCCTCAAGGCTAGAGACCCGTGGTGTATTGAGATAAAACGTGATCTTCCTCAAGAAGTATTCATCCGCATCAAGGATGCAATCAGAAAAGGAGTTTCAGCTTTTGGTGTGTCAGTAGAGGACTCCATTGTAAAGTTCACTCATAGAAAGCGCTTGTTCCGAGATTTTTCCAAATTCTGTGGCCTTACACAAAGTGACATTAAGACTAAGCTGAAGAAAACCTTCAGTGGAAATCGAAAGAATTTCAAAGCAGATATGCTTGTGGATGAGGACAAGCCTTTTATAATTTGTTATAATGAGAAGCGAATGAAGGTTATTGTAACATGTCACTATGGATTGTGGAATGAATTTGGGTATGGATTTCATGGTTAAGAGATTGTGTGATCTGACTCTGATACGCTTGAGAGGAACAGGTGATAGGGGATTGACACCCCAGACAGTGCCATGTTGCTATATATTGTAAAGTAAATTGAGTTTACTTTCTGTTATACACAATTGAACAGGTATGTATTTCAGAAGTGTTTTTTTTAATAACTTCAAGTCAGGGTGGGGAATCAGGGTGGGGAATCAGGCTGGGGGTGGAGATTTTACTTTTCATCAAAATCCCCTCCAAGGGGAACAGAATGGTTAAAATCAGGTCAAATCCCCTCATGTTGAAAGGTTTATTTCCCTTTCTGAGTACATTCTTGTGGTAAATTTGTCAGTCAAATGCCCAGGTCATAACAACAGAACAGTTGCATTGTGAGTTCAGTTTAACAAACAATTTTATTTGAAAATGAACAACTTTAAATTATACATGTCAGACAAGTTCAAACAGTCAATAAAATAGAAACATAGATTAATTTAATTAACATGTCAGAAGCGTCTTAGCCAGTTAAAATCCCTTACTAATCAGAGGACACTAATTTTAATACATCTTAATTCAGATCTGTCCACGCAAAGTGACCACTAAAGCCTGAATCAATAACAAACCCAGCCACTTTAGTCCGATTGTCGTTAATGGCTCATTAAAATAGAGCTGATTAAAAACCAAAATATGTCTGTAGCTGCATGATTTTTGTGACCAGTTTCTTCAAGCATCATTCTTATTCAGTCCACACACTGGCTTCAGAATGTGTTTTCATACAAATTGAAGATATGCATTTTCAAAGGTAAATGAAAGCCTCAACAATAAAACATGTTATTTTTAGAAACATTGCTTTCTTTTCTGTGTGGAAACTTTTTCAACAAATTAAATTGTGCATATTTTGTGACTGGGATGAATTAGTGATAATAAATGCTGACCCATTCAGTAAGGTAAACATAACAAACTAATGTCTTACACTGGTGCCTGCAATCCCTAGGACACTTGCTTTTAGCAACAGAACTCTATCCATAATATCCCTTTGGATGTCTTGCCTTTTGAGTACATTTTCTAAACTGCTACTTAGCTAAACCAGATAAAATTTTTCCTTGTTTGACACTTTCATGGATGAGCGACAAGAGGTTATCACTGCAAAAGTAACAGCTTGTGTCTGTGGAATCTGCCTTCTGCAATCCACAATAGCAGTAACTCGAATCATTGAAAATCCTGGGGGGTATGTAAACACTTTTGCTTGGGGTATAGGAACAAGGCTCATAGCCTTGTTCTGGTAACCATATTAGCATGACAAATTCATGCTTGAATATTTCTTGCCACCTCTGCTGGTGTGTGGTGTTTACACTTAACCTGTGCAATGCAATATGTTTTGCTTCCCTTCCCTCCATTGTGACTGTCAAAAGGCCGTGCTTGTAGATGTCATAAACTTGCTAAGCATGCACAGGCAAAACATGCCCAATTGTCCAAATAGTTGGATTTACTGTAGTTGGTAAGAACATTGCATTGGCTCTGTAACATTCTTCTGCTAAGGATTTCAGTTTAGTAAGATCTGTTTCCTGGACTTCAAATCTGTTAAATATTGAACAACAGTCCCTCAATCTGATCCCAACGTAAACTAATGTCAACACCGTCTGTCTTTGCTTCTTACTGTCTCCCTCCCTGCTTAACACCTTTATGAGCCTCATAAAATTGTGGCAAAAAGACCGTGATTCCTTCCCTGTAAAACGGTACTGCAAATCCGCCTGTTTTCTTTGGGTTTCGTCAAACCATTTCTTTACTTTTGTGGCTAAACGTTTTGCCCTAACCTCATACTGAAGGGCAGTTACCATATTTGCAAAGCAACTGTCTTCTGGTACATCTGAAAATGTTTTTTGTGATGGCAGTATGTTTGATTTTCCAATGGATTCCTTCAAAAGGGCTTTAAAAAAGTATTGCCAAGCATTATTTTTCAAATGCAGTGGTTCCACATGGGCATTGTCAATGAGTTTTCCAACTAGAGGAGTGAACTCTTGCCTGCTTTTTTGACGAGCGATGAATTCAGTCACTTTTGACCTTTTTGTTTTGACAGACATGGGTTTTCCCTGGAGTGAAATCTTAAATTTTTAAACACTTTTAGCTACCTTAACCCTTTGTTGAAAAGGCCATGGCTTCCCCTACATGAAGCATCACTTCCAAAGCTTCCTTGCAAGTCAGTGTAATCATTTTTGCTTTCATTACCAAATGAAGAAAAGTAGGTTGCTGCATTAGAAAGCTCCCAGTAAAGCATAGCCAGCATCTTCATATCATTGGGTAGCTCTTTAAACCTAAATGTTACATGCAAATCATTTATTTTAAACACCTTTTCCTCCAAGTTTACTATTTGTTTACATGCTGCTTGAACATACTTTTTGACCACCAGTGAAGATTCCTCACAATTAGCCCCAAATATCAAAAAGTTGTCAGAACTGGAGGCTACCCTTTTTTCTGTATTTAAAAAGCTGATCAGGAATGAGCAGGCAGTCTCATTCTTACCGAGAGGGCACCCATCCCTTCCGAATGCTATTAGGAAAGTACCTTCAGTCTCGCCGAACCATTTCAAGCTGTCTTTGCGTGAATTTTGCACTTTTAAATAAAATCTTGCCAATCTAGGTAGATATTCCCTTAAATCTCTATAGCATCCACTGGTGTTTTCATCCTCTATGTATGGAGCAAATTCATCCCTGATTGAATAGATTGTCCCAATATCAATTTTATTTACTTCGTTCATGAGGGAACTATGTGTGAGCAACTTTGGTATGGGACACTTTGGCATGAATGTAATGGCTGTTTTCCCACCTCGCTTCTTTCCACCATACTTCATAGTGGATGCCACTCTAACAGCCTGGTATTTACGTTTGCCCATTACACCACCAGTATAGTATGTAGCTATGCTTCTTAATATATTATCCCTAGAATTTTGAAAGGCTTCACGTCCCTGTTTCTGCTTTTTTTCACTTATGTACTTTGATACTTTAGCATTAGATAATACATAGTTTCCTAGTTCACTAGTCTTGCATCTTTTTTGGAGAGTGTCAAAGAGACCATCGAGTGCAGGTCGTTTGTTACTCTTAGTAGCTCCATGTATCTGTGATGCTTGCGCAAATGTTTCAGTGTTTCTTCTAAGAGATGTTTGTGATGTGTAACTTGGATTTTCAAGGGCTGTTGGTGATCACACTCACTTCTCCCCCTGAAAATAAAATGATAGCATTATTATTAACACTTTTAATACGCTAAAAATAATGTAATTAACATTTCTAACTTCTAATAACCTACTAAGGTGTGTATGCAAATACTCTTTTTGAGAAAACTAAAACATTTTGTAATGGTTCTTTCTAAACAGTTTTCTCATAAAAGTTTTTAGTCAACTACATTATTAAATAAAATAACATTATTGAGTCAATACAAAAAATCAAATTACATCCTAGTATAATATAATGACACAAATGTTACCTTTGTGATTAATTGTGCTTTTAGCCCAGCAGACAAACTTTCAGATTTTTTTTTTAGTTCATTTACCTACGAAATGACAAGAAATAATTACATGTAGTTTACAAATTCCCATTAAACTCTTCTTCTCCAATTACAATAAAACCTCATGAGATTATGTAGACAATTTACCACCTGATAATATTTCATTCAGCGGTACAAATCACAATCAAATCAAATAAGATAGGGATAAAATTTGGGATTTCTGCTAATTTCAACATGATTTTTTTAATGTAACATCGATGATTCCTGTGTTTATTAAAGTTGAGGATAAAGGTCAAAATACCGGTACTATGTAATTTTAAGCTTTTAGCGTATTCAATTTAATTAATTCGCAAAATAAGCTTACCCTCTCATTCAACCTGCAAACCTTCTGTTGCTCAACTTTTATTTCTGAAAGGGCACTTGCCTTTTCCTCGGCCAGCTGAACCGCAAGGTTATGCTTGACTTTCATAAAATGACCGACAGCCAAGCGCTTGTGTATTCTAGGCATGTTCCCGTCGTCGCGCCCTGTGGCCAACAAACTCAGGATACAAGTAAACCGCTGCAAATCAATCCCATGTTTACAATATCATGAGGATACGAGACCTAGTGCGTGTTAAATATTGACGATTTGCTTTGGTTTCTTCTAGTAACTCCGTCATTGGTCTTTTTCTCTTTTCGTTCATTTCTTTTCCTTTAGTAAGATGACAAATATGTCCATTCCACCAGCAGCCATGGAACTGAAACACTGTTTGCGAAGGACCGTGAAAACCATTCACTGGTATTTTTCTTTCACCAATGTGTTTTCTGTATTGTTCATTTGGTGGCGTATAAAAATTCCTCCTTCATGTGCCTTCCACTCTAACCACTCGGTTGCCATCCTGGAAGAACTTTCTCTCTGAAGCCAGTTTCTCTCGGCATCTTGTCAATGATCCGGTGGGCATGTCTTGCGTGATGGCCCATAGATATAATAAAGCATTGGCATCGTATCCAACAATCTTTTGACAGGTTTTTGCTTGTTTTCCTTGATCTTCCATTTCTTTTTCTCTGATCTTGGTTTTTCCCACCTCGTGGTATTGATGAAAGATGATACTAGGGCCACCCACCATATTTTTCTTAAAGAGATAGTACAGATCTTTGTTTTTTTGTCAAACAGAGAGAAGAAGATGCCAGATTCCAGGGTGGTAAAGAGGTACGTCAAGGTAACACCGGGAATGGAAATACCTTGTCTTAGCATGTCAATCTTTTTATCTTTCCAGAAGGCGTACATTTTTTCCAGGGCCTCACAAAAGGGCTGGACATCTAGGTTGTTGTACCAGATGAGAAATTCTCGAAAAGTCTGCATATTATTGTTCGACCAGACTTGTTGGCAGTACTGGTAGTCTTCATCAGAAATGTTCTTGTTTTTTAAAGTAGAAAAGAAGGCTTGGTGAGGTGGAAGGGAAGTGTGTTCTAATTTCTCCAGAGAATCCAGCCATTCATAAGGAAATAACCCCTTGGTTTAAGGACACTCGTAGGCTTTGAGAAACTTGTAGCTGAAACCGGGAGCCAGAAAGTTGGTGACATCAAAAAAGCGGAGATGTGGAGTCTTTAGGCACATGAAATTATGGTTCTGTTTGATAGTAAAATTAACGCCTTCATTCTGGAGTAGGACGGCATTCAAGTCATATTTACCAGAATTGGAGCCCAGGACAGGAAGTTCTTGTAGGTATTTTTGGAAACGATCTCCTAATTTCTCTAAAGGGTGCACTTTTTTCTTCTTAGGTTCTGGGCTGTTGTCCTCTGGTTTGTCATACGCACACTCGTGATCATTCTCACTCTGATCCTCTTGTTCTCGATCTATGGCCCTGTAAAACGAGGCACCTTGTTCTTCTACGTCACGGTCAATAAAGACACGATCTTCCTCGGTTTCAGACTCGATTTCTTCTTCTTCGTCTTCTGTGTCCATGAGATCTCCTTCATCATTGCTATCCTCTTGGATGCTGTCCTCTACTGTCTTGTCTCTAGAAGGTTCACAACTTTCTGATTTTTGCTGCAAGTCTTGCAGCTTTTGGTCAATGGCTTCTAAAAGGAAATTAAACTCTTGCTTCATGAGACGACAACTTTCTTCACTGATTTTGACTAGATAGTCCAGCATCTCTTTGACGAGCTGTTTGGAATCCCCATCGGACACAAAGCGCTTGGGTTGGTCATAGTCTGGAACATTGGAGCAGACACTCACACTGAGGGGTATATGTTTAGAATTCCACGTCAGTTTTTCTGTATTGTTAAGTTCTGTCTCGGCTGTAAACATACAAGGTAGCTCTGGAGGGGAAGATCTTGAGATCATCACGAATGATCAATCCTTCGTCTTCTAGCAACTGAAAGGGAGGTTGAGTCTTGTAAGCACCTCCTGGAAACTGGTAATGTACTTTTGCTTCACAGGTTCACTCATGATGATTTAACATGCCAACATGTTTCCACAATGTTCCACATCGCAAGCAGCTGTAGGACTTGGCATACTTCTTGGTATCTTTGATATAGGAAAAGTGATTCTGGTACAGGTTGAGGTAAAGAGTACTTGGGTAGTGGCAAAGGGAGCTGTGAACCAATTGTGCAGCAATGTTTGGTACTGTATTTTCTTCTTCAGTATTGTCTTCATCTCCTTCTCCATCGGGCTTGGTGGGTTCAAGGGAATAGACGGAAATGTTCACTTCATAGAGGTGTTCCAGATCAGTAAGTTCTTTCAGCTTCACACCAAAAAACTTATTTTTCTCAGGGGAAAATTCTCTGTAACACTCATAGTAATGGTGTGAATCCCTCTCTAGATTCTTTGGGTGACAACCATTGTGGAGTGCAAATTGTCGCTGTAGACTTTTCCATTATTGCGGTTGCGATCCAAGGCGACCAAATCATGGTTCTCGGCCAGATAGGAAGGCAGGTAAGTACCTCTCCCTATAGGATGACCTCGTAGCTTGGTGACGAAGAAAGTGATATTGGTCACCTGTTCTACGACCCATTTGGAGTTGGGGCGTCACTGGCGTACCCATTCCAACACGCCAAGGTTTAACAATACTTCATGAACTTGCTGAAGGTCAGCTGCGGTGGTAATTTGAAAGGGTTCTTCGAAGACTTGTTCATTATTTCTGGAGGCATAATAATATTGAAGTGCACCAGTCTCGTTGTTGCGTAGAATGAAACCAAAAGACACATTCAGCTTAAACACCGTGGACTGGTCAGTAAAAATGTTATTTAAATGAGTGATAAGTTCTTGAGGTTGGCGGAAATACGATTTTTGCGGCTAAAACGAGTGCGTATTTGACACCGGTGGTTGCGGTATTCGGGAACGAGATTGGTGATAGATCTTGGCTCTTGCTGCCAACAAGAACTTGGAGTTGACTGCTTTTTTTCGATAGGGGTTGGCTTTGTTTTCTTGATTTTACGCTCTGAAGGAAAATAAAGGATGTGTAAATAGAATATATCTAATGTGTTCAAAATACAATTTCGCTTTATTTCATTTATTTGAGCTTACCACCCAAAACTTACAGAAAATTTAACTCCGATTACAAAACAAAATGGTGACACTCACACGGAATATATGGAAAATCATACATAATTGTTACTAGCAATTTTCTGAAGTTCCCCCGGACATTTACCAAAGTCGCATTTTTTGACGCGAGAAACATGGGCTGCTAATTTACAATTAAATTATTATTATTTTTAGAAAACCCCTCTGATTTAACCCTTGGTCTAAGTCATATCTCAGAGTAGACATTCTCCACAAGGAAAATTTCATGGAGATAAAAAGCAGATAAACCTTTTTTTTTTTTTCAACAAAAAAAAAATTGGCTATTTCCGCTACAAAATACCAGAAATCTGCTTTGACTTGTCTAAATCTACTGAAATACTATCAGTTTGTAGCTTCTGTTTTTATAGGTTAGTTTCCGATTCAAAAATAGATTTGCAATCAATGGCTTTTATTTACCGGTTAATACGTTGTGTTTGAAACCTCCATTTGTCACCCTGAAATGATTTTGTGACCCCAAACCTTACTGCGGTATATACTAGTAAAGGGGAACAATGTCGATGTAAGCCACATGATATGTCCTCTTTCAAATGTCCCCGATATCGGACCTTACAGTTTTAAGGACAGAAGAAGTGTTAAACAATGTGTGACCTCTATTATAATCAGTAAGGTATTACTTTAAACAAAAGCCAATAAAGCACTTTTTCAATATATCCTACTTTCTATTAAGCGTTGGGAAGGAAATTTACATAGCACTTATCATTTACGCAAAATGTTATTTTGTTATTGCAAAAGAGTCTTCCTATCTGAGTCGTCTTGGCGCGGACATTTGGCAGACATAGAAGGTTTAGTGTGTGCTGATTTTCCATGTGCTCGAAATGGACCCAGATTTTGAAAAACTTCACCGCAGGTATTATGTATTCCCGCTGAGCAGCATGTCATGTCACATGTCATTTTAAGGCATCTATTCGATTAAACTTTCGCCCACAGAGGAAACATTCGTGTCGCTTTCCAAGAATTGGATAGCGTGGCATTTTAGAAGGAGTAGAGTCTACTTCATCCTGTGAAATTATAAGTTGTATTTACTGACTGATTTACAAACCTGTTTAACAGATGCAGTATTATTTAGTCTAAATTACGTCAACAAAGTCTTTCAACAGCATGGTTTCATAATTCCTTCATTTATACACCATAAGTTGTTTTTGTAAAAATATTTTTTAACTCCATCAAGTTTAAAATCTGACTTCATTTAGACTATTCATCTGAATCGAATCTATCTTAAGATAACTTTTGTAGCTCTTTCTGCTCAATATAAAATGTAAACATGCAAAAACCATTAAACTACTGCTAAATTTATGTCTTTCACGTTTTATCTTTATCATTTCTTAATTTTCATGTTTTTGTCTGTTTGTATTTTTGGACCATTTTATTTCACGAGGGAGATTTAACAAGCTGTGGCTCCTGAGCTCTTCATGGTTATAAATAAAGTGTGTTGCACAACCCAAAACCAAAATCTGGAAGGTACCTAAAGTACTATAAAAACTACCCCTGCTAGTCGTTTCCTGCCCGCTCCACTCTGTATTTCATTTAAGTGAGGCCATCCAGTACCCTAAAAAGTAAAAATTGGTTAAGTTGGAAATAACATTCGACCAGAGAGAGAGAGAACGTTCATTCAAAAAACAGAGAAGCAGAGAGCACATACCTGTGGTAGTTTTTCATACTCATTCCCCCAATCGTCCCATGGTTCAAAAATTTCCGGCGGAACGTCAAAATCGAAAGGTAGCAAAGTGATTGAAATTCATGACTTCTTCTGACAATTCGTGAATGACGCGCTTGGTAAGGAAGGGCCATTTTATGTGTTTTGGAACAATAGAAAAAAAGGCAGGTAAAAATAAACCATGATATCATCGTACCTGAATAAATATGACATCATGACCAAGTAAGGACATGATATCACTTTTCTATTTAAAGATTATGATCTCAAAATTTTTTGATGACGTGAACTCTAGGAAATTCTGACGTCATATGCTCCTTGCCAGCTTCAAATAAACTATGACATCATCCTATCTTAATGGATGCATGATGTCATCAACATTAATTTAAACTATGACATCATCCTATCTTAGTGGGATGCATGATGTCATCAGCATTAATTAAACTATGACATCATCCCATCTTAACGAGATGCATGACGTCATCTGCGTTAATTTGTACCACTCAAAAAGTAAATTAAATCCACGAAAAACCGGCGTAACCGGTGCCTCCCCCACTACTAAGCGCTGTTAGTGTAAAAGTTAATACAAGTTCAGTTCCGGGTAGAGTGCCACAGTCTCATAAGAGGCTTCTTTCTGCTGCACAGTTCAAATCCCTCGGCAGGAGGTGCTTGCAACTAGGGTAAGCAATAAACCATTTTACGTATGACGCACTTCTAGCTCAGTCGAAATGTGATAATTTATACTGAACATAGAAAAACCAGTAAAGTTGTTTTAATGTGAAAGTAAAACTCGCTTCACCTTCAGAAATACCGTCGTAATTACTACTTGATCGAAAATAAATTTCTTCACATGCTGCTTTTTCATCTTCTTAAAAACATGCAAGCCACTTTGCTTGAAGCTCCTGGCTGTTCTTCAATGTGCACTTCACCACCTTAATCAAATTTTCTTTTTGTTCTTTCAACTTATGGTTGTTTATTAACTTGAGACGCTCACTCTCCATGGCCATGAAAAAGCAATAGACGTTGTCACTGATATGAATAAGGCCTCGCTCTCTATACTGCCTTGCTTCTGTCACATCAAGGGTTTCAGCCACCTTTGTACTTTGTGATAATTTTGCAAATGGTACAATGACGTTTTCTTCCAAAAGTTCGCAGATGTGATAGTGTCGATGGACTTTCTGTAAGGTTTTCTTATTTTCTCTGTAAATGTTGACTTAAACGAATTTTCGCCAATTTTCCAATATTTTTCTTATTGCCCAGCCTCCAACCTAACGAACTTTTGATCTTCCCCCTGCAGACATTTCTTCGACATTGAATTCTATGGCTTCATTTCTCTACTCATCTCTAATGGACTCCGATAGGTGTTTCAAGAACTGCAGGTGTATCTGCATTCCAATCTTAACAGCCACCGTTTTCTGCACTGGAGTGAAGTGAGTGGTTTTAAATAAGGCAGCAACTATTTTATTTATTAAACATCACATAACATAACATTTCAATAAACTTTACAATAACAGGGCGGCAAATAAAAAGGAGGCGAAACAGTAAAAAATAAATAAGTAAATACACAAACAAACCAAAAAAAGCGAAATACAAAGGTTCAACAGATAAACAACAACAAGCAGAACAAATAGAAAAATGTTTGCTAAATTACTATAAATCCAACACTAATTAGGAATGCACAACCTGGTCCACTTATTTCTGTATTTGTTAAGGTTTCCGTTTGTGATTGCAATTTCTCTTTCTCACTGGATTCATAGGATTCAGTTAATGGAGGGCAGAAAGATTTGTCAGCAAACATTAGTCGAGCATAGCTTTGTAAAAAAAAAAAAAAAAGGGACAGTAGATATTTAGCAACCTTTGTGGCATTACAGGTGTGGTATGGAATCCCTAATGAAAGGGTTCCTAAAATAGTGGGTAAGGTGGGGAGGGAGGATGCGTGTATACAAGGGTGTTGTGTGTATAAAAACAGAACAAAAAAGTTAGATGTTAAGATTAGCACTGATAATGAGGGACAGGCAAACTGCAGAGCAGCTATGTCTACCTCAAAGAAGTGCAAAAATTTATTTAGCAGAAAGTAATAATTATTGAAGTTCTAATAAGGATAGGATTAAATAAAATATATAAGTTGAAGAATAAAAAGAATAAGTATTGAGGGACCGGTAAACAGCTATGTCAACCTCAAAATAGAGTTAGGATAAGTATAAGAGGATGAGGGGTTAGGAGGTAAAATAATAAGAGGGATGATAAGAAGATGAATGGGGGAAAGAGGGACCGGCAAACTGCAAAGCAGTCATGTCAACCTCTTGGAAAGTTAAAAATAAAGAAGAGAGAGGAGGAAAAGGATAAAAAAAATTAATAAATAAATTGTTTTTTTTTTTTAATAAAGAAATAAAATTGAATAGAAAATTTAAAAAAATTATATTAAAATTAAAATTAATAATAATAAAATGAAATAAAATAAAATAAATGAATAATAAAGGAGAGACTCGGGGGTAAACAAAGGAAAAAACAAACAAAGGAATTACCTTAATAACTTTAATGTGCAATTTCTTCTTCAAAAATAATGATAATTAAAAAAATGTTAGTGAAAAAATGAAAACGTAAAGTTGCTTCTTTGGTGAAAAGAAATTGTAATAAGCTAGATGGCTTGTTAACTGATACAGTAAAAATACTATATGAGTTTCACATAATAATTGATGTATAGTCGTTCTTAAAAACTTATCGAATCACTGAAATAGTTAAAATGAAATTGAAATATATTCGTTCTTAAAAAACTCAAGGATTATTGACTCTGAAAAATTTTCTTTCAATAAAGGTTGAAATTGACTCAGTAGTTTCTCTAGTAACTATAGCAACATCTGCAGAGTTACAAAAATTCTGAAATAGTTTTTAAAAATTGGATAATACTTTAAAATAAAAAAATAAAAATAAAATACAAGATTAGAATTAAGTAAAGGAAAATGTCACATGTAAGCTTCCATAAAAAAAGGGGGGGAAAGGGGGTGAAAGAAATGTACAGGATAAGAATTTTCATAATGAAACTGTTATAAGTAGTATAATTTGAATTATTACAAAACTGTAGTTGAAAGAGAATTTAAATGGTTAGTTGTTAGTTGTTCTTTTGTGTTCGCTTACATTAATAATTATAAGGAATACAACTTGTAATTTTTTAAAAATATTTTTTCGAAAGAGAATTTAAAGTTGTTAGTCGATCTTTTTTGTCTGTTAAGGTATAGCCATTCTTCAGAATGCAGATCAAAATAAAACCAGATGTGTGACTTGTTGTCCATGTTGTTGAGAAGAGAACCTAGCTGGCGAGCACGCTTTTCGGCCTTTTTGTCTGTAGTCCAGTGTTGTGATGGGAGGATCCAGTGTGAAGTGAGGTGGGGTGAACAGCCATTGCCAATTAAAAATAAAAACAGTTTGAATGTGTCTTTGTCGCTGATTGGTTTTTCCAGAAAATTAACTTAAAATCTTGTGGCCAAACAGAAAGTGGATAAAAAGCGTCGCCGTTGCATGAATTAAAAAGTGGAAGTCGTTGCTGGATAATTGATGCACGGGAGAGGTTGCGGAGGTGATGATGGTAAAAGTGGAGTGTACAGTGGTTGTTATCCATAGTTGAAAGTAGTCTGTTAAGGTAACAATAGAGGAGGGGGTGAAGTAGAGGGTGGGGATAAGAGCATTAGGATGGTAATTTGTAATTAACTATTAATTAGCGTCATAAGTTATGACAAAAATTGTCTTATTGTTATTACAGGAAAAAGGAAGCAGAAGAAGAATAGATAGAGTGTGAAGGAGAATGGGTATACCCAGGTATGGCAAGAAAAAGGATGCATCGACACCAAGGCTCCTGTAATGTTGTGAATCATCAGGGGCAAAGCACAACTGAGCGAGGATGTTTCTAGCCCGGCGCCGAGCCTTTGACCGACATCCTCTGTGTCGAGTCCTTGAGAAGAAAAAAGGAAGAGAGGAGAGAAATGGTCGGAAGGTAGCCGAGAAGAGAGAGGGAGAGAAAAGAAGAAGAAAAAAAAAACAAAACAAACAAATAAACTTTTAGCAGAACAATATACTCTCTTTGTATGTAAATAGACTTGGAAAACGATAAGTAAAAAAAATGAATTATAACGGTAAAGCGGAAAGCATCAGTTGAGTAAATTAAAGCAACAAATTAATTAAGCTAAAGTGACAATATCTTACCACGAAAACAAAGGGGTTTCTTCAAAAATGCCGGTTGTGAAAAAAGGTCAGTCCTGGAAATAAGGAGGCCCAAAATTAAAAACAATTATAAGGGATGAGGAAAATTTCCGTAGAGAAATACTTACGTCTGGAAAGAAATGGCTCCTCTAGGGTAAACGTAAGAAAAGAGTGAAAAATGCGGAACAAAATTCTGTCGTAACAAAAAAAATTTTTTGTCAAAACAAATTAAAATTGACGCCAGAATGACGCGAGCCAATGACGTACGAGAAAGGTGTCGCAATGATAGATGGGATAGCCGTCAAACTTTCGAAGGATATGAGCGGCCATGAGGGTTGAAATCAGGGCGGATAAAGGTTGGGGGTGAAACGAGGGCTCCGCTCTTCATTTAATGTGTGATGCGGAGTAGGACTGGCACGAGCGCTCTTTCCGCGCTTCCGGTGCGCTTGAAGGCAATGTTAAATAGATAAATTCGTTTCATAACAATATCAATAAACAGTTTCATATGTTTGTGTCTGTACGTCTAAGTCAAACTTGTTGGTCGTATAATGCCAAAATTTGAGTTTAATTTGGAAGTGTTGAATACCTCCTCCTTCCACTAAATATCACCTAATCGTCTTTCGCTGTTTCGTTTGCAAAAGCGTAATACTTCTTAACCTCAATTTTTACATATGTTAAAGGGGGATAAATTTTGTATAACATAACAAAAAATTAGATTGATATATATTGATATAGTGGCGTTGTACTTCTTCAAACTTTGCTTCTCGGGTGCAACACGCCATGGCAATTCGCGCAATGCGTTGCAAATCCGGCAACCGCATGTAAACAAAATTTATTGAGGTTAGTTGTAAGGTTTTTTCTCAGATTTTCTCTCTAAAACAAAACAAGGTAAACAGTAAAAATTGAGGGGAAACTAATTTTGAAGTTTCGAAGAAACATAAAGACGTATGAGATGTTTTTTTCAAAATCAAAAAGAAGGATGATGGTCATTGAAATTAGTATAATTTCACCTTGCACGAGCTGCACGCATTTATAAAATACACGTCATCTAGTTATGAAACACGATCTGCTGTCTTTTAGTTTTGCCATGGATGACATGGATGAGATTTTCCTTCGTGTTTTAGACAGTACTTAGTTGTTTTTGTTTTGGAATAACATTGACATTGGCGAGTAGCAAAACGAAAATATAATTCAGTGGTAGAGTCATGGAAGTAATAAAAGAAATCCTTTGAAAGAGATGTTTGTCTACTCCAACTAAACCTACCGCAAAAAATAGCAACATTTGCCTCTCAGAGACAGCGTTCCAGCACAAAGGAAGGAGGAAGAAGTGCAAGAAAACAAATCAAGCCGCCATAGTCCAGTGACAGAGGCAGTGTCTAATGTACAAACCACATCGCAAGCCCTGACCAAAGTCGAAAACAAGCGACATTTCTAAGCAGAGTCCCAGTCCACTGCATCACACCTTTTTGCTCGGACGCGCTCGTTTCACCGCCCAATCTTTATCCGCCCTGGTTGAAATTGTGTCTATAAAGCGTAGAAATCTGTCTTTTCGAGGCCAGGTGTCGAAGTATTTATGGAGTGGCAGTTATCGTAGTGTGCTGGGATGGATTTGTAGTAAGCAGATTTTGTTCGGAGTTATATCGGAATCGGTGATTTCAGTATGATCGATCGTTCTTCTTAAGAAAACTGGAGCTGAGTGCAGGTTGAGCTAGCAATCTGGTCGTTGGAGGTAAGGAATCGAAGTTAAGTATTCATAATATGATATATCGTTCTTTTTGTGACGACGATGAGTTTAGTCTGAAAGAGTTGTCTGTGTGAGTCGTGTTTTACAAGGATAAAGATGGTAAGATTTCGCTAGACTGCATGTAAGGAGAGGAGTTTCAAAACAAGGCAGTGTAAAAAGGGGGAGACGCGATACGATGCCGCAGTGAAATAGGCAGTGACTGCTTTTAAGATTAAACCATCTGGATAAATTTATTGATAAAGTCCTAGTATAAGTATGAGAATTATAATGCTAAAAAAGCTTGTGGTAGGGAATAGTGAAAATCGATTAAAATATTAGGGTAAAAAGGTAGTGTAACTTTTTGGTGAAAGTAAAATATGTAGCAGAATGAATTAAAATTTGATTATACACAAGTGTCAAGTAGAATGAATTAACACTTGATTACATACGAGTGTCAAATTTAAAAATTATTAAAGCTTGAAGCTAGCTTTTAAGTGGTAGAATTATTAAATAGGATTAATTTATGGTGTAACATTTTATTAGTAAGAAGGAGTGTGTGGAGTTTAGTAGAGTTGCAGTATGTTTTTGAGAGTTTCGGTATGTGTAGGTGGTGGTATTTGAGTAGAATGCTGTTGACCAGTTTGTCTGTTCGTTTGTCTTTGTTGTATATAGTCTTGTAGTAAACAGTGGGTCTGGTAACGTTATTAGTCTGTTTGTTTTTGAGGCGTCGCTGGTGAGCAGTGCGTGTGATCCATGGAAATGAATGTTCAGTGATCAGTTGTAAAGGATAGTCTAAGGCAGTAAGTCTAAGTGTGAAAAGCTGGTGAATGAAGTTGTAGTCGTCTATTGTGGCTGAAAGTCTACTGTATCGTATAGTTTCAGTTTTAATGATACCAGCAAAAATGTGATGGGGATGGTTAGATGAAAAATGAGGGTACATGTATTTATGGTGTGGTTTCTGGTAGATCTGGTGATGCACCCTGTGGGACTTGATGGTGAAGTGGTTGAGTGACAAAGTGAGATCTAGGTAATGAGTGGTATGGTGATTTGATGTGAAAGTTAGAGGTATTTGTGGCGGGTAAGAGCTGCAGAGGTTAGAATGATATTAGGTAATTTAGCTTTGCTGGTTAGCATAAATCCATCATCTATATAACGGCAGAAAATAAAAATGCTATTAGTAGGGCAATTAGTATTGTTAAAAAATGAAAATTCGCTTAGTAGGAGCACGAGGTCCGCAATTTGGCAGCTATGGTAGCTGCCCATAGCAACCCCTTTAATTTGCTGGTAGATGGTATTACCAGTCCTAAAATAGTTACGTTGGTTAATAAAATTATTGAGGTTAAGCAAATAATCCCTATAAAAATTAGGCAAATTAAGCAGTTTACAGTTCTTAATGATGGCTTGAGTGGTGTCATGGTATGAAATGTTTGTGTAAAGTGATGTGAAGTCAAAAGTTGTGACACATAAGTCGTACATGTTGGTAATACGTAGTTTGTCTAATAAAAGCAGTAAGTCATATGAGTTGTAAATCAAAGGGCATGGTATGTTTCGTTCTTCAAAAAGGTTTTTTAGTTGTAAAATAATACTGTCTAGTTCAGTTCCCAGTAGACGTGAGGGGTTGGATGTTATCCAGCTGTGCGCAGTGATAATAGGTCTCCCAGTTAGTTTCTTCAGGTTGCCGTAGGATGCAGGTTTGTCGAGTTTATGTACTTTAGGTAGTAGTTTTATGTAGGGTAGTTGTAGTTTGTCTTGTGGGGTGGGGTCCAACAGTCGCGAGTTGTCATGGTTTGTGATAACAGTTGCGAATCGTTTTTTGAGTTGGCCAAGTAGTGTGTGGGAGTTAGTGATGGTTTGTTTGCAGTTAAAGTTGTCAATACGTCTGTAGGTAGACAGGTCGGAGAGATGTCGTTTGTACTCGGTGGAGAACCACGAGGTAGGCACATGAGCCCAACCCATGTTTTTGTCAGAAACTGTAAGTATTACGTCATTGTCGTTCTGTACGTTGTGGTGTGTGGGAGGGTGTTACATAATTTAGGATAAATAATAGAACGCAATTTAGCAGGTTGTCAAAATTCTTTAGTGAAAGAAACAGTATTGTGAACATAGTCGATGAGGTGAAGGTTGAAGTGAGGCCGTGATTGTTCTTGTTGTAGTAAAGGAAGTGGATGCATCTGATTGCGGTAAGGATGGAAACGGAGAAGTGATTTGGAAGTTTTAGATGAGTTGAGCTTGGTAGTGTGGTTTTTCTTGCGGATAGGGGAACAGAGGGCTGTGTTGACTTCAGATTCGATGGTTTTTTGGAGAGAAGAGATGCTTGGCGTGGTGGTGGTAAGGATGAAGTTAGTTCCTTTGTTGAGTAAAGAGATGGCATCAGGTGGCAGTGGTGTGGAAGTGAAGTTGTGAACTTTGTTTGATGAAGATAGTTTGATTTTTTCTGATTCAGTAAAAGTGGCACGTTGTGACTTTAGACTCTGTTCCATGATATGGGCGGTGTTAGAAGAGGAAAGGGTGTTTCTTGTCTTGAATAGGTAGAGGAAGAGTCTGTGGGCATTGTTGATTTTGTTTAGTTGATGATGGAGTTGATGGCCTTTGTTGAGCTGATGTGATGACTTGAGGAAGGAGGTATGCTTGGAATGATAGGTTAGTTGGCTTTGTTTGATGGCTTTAATGCGTAGTTGCAGGTGGCTGTTATGGGAATTTAAAGTGGCGATGTCTTCTTGCAGGCTGGCTGGTGTCTGGTTTGAGGATGAAGTAGTTGATGTGGTGATGGTTGAGTTTTAATCTTTGAAAAGTATGGTATGTAGTTGACATTGAAGTTGGAAGATAAGGGCAGAGCTACGTTCTTTTATTTTGTGCAGGTTGTGGGCTTGAAATAGGAGTTTCTTTTGTCTGAGAGATAGTTGCTTGGATTTAAGTGTAAACCATCTCCAGCCATTGTTGGTTTTTACAGCTAGTGATAGTTTGTTTGGCATTTTTGAGAGTTGTGGTTGATCTCTTCGCCAGTAAAGAGAGAGTCGGTCGATCGATGACACGGTTCAGGTAAAGCAACTGCTACTTTAATGCTACTGTAGGCACAACGGCGAAATACAGAACAAACTCAAGAGCGAGACACGAGAGCGTCTAGGGCGCGTGTCCTTATCTACAGTACCGCTGACCGGTACTGGCGTGGCCTCTTTTTCCTTTCTTTACTCTTACAAATATGGTATGAGCCCACTGGTTATAGAAAAATTTAGGTACATGTAAACGGCTAACATGAATAACAATAAAACTTGAACAGTTTCTAGTGTGGGTCACGAGGACCACTGGCTAATTAATCCATATCAAAGTCCTCAAAACTGGCGGGTCGGCGTCGCTCACGTGTGGATCGGCGAGGAGGGGGGGTGGCATCTGATTCGCTGTCGCTAGCATAGGGGTCTCTGGTTTCATCAGGGTGGGTCACGGTCACGGTATCGTGAGACTCATCGTGGCTGGTAGGGAAGTCATCAAGGTGGGGAAATTCCTGGGTAGAAGGTGTCGAGATCGCGCACGGAATGATTGGCGGAGGTGGTGGTTCTGGCTGTGTTGGTGGAGTTTCGTCAGATGATGAGTCTGCATCCCTATTGGGAGCAGGTGGTCTGTGGTTCACGACTTCGGATGGGACTCGATAGCACTCAGACATCTTCACTCGGTAAGACGTGCTGCGGAGTTGGGAGCCAACAAATTTCTTGACGTTGCAGAACGAGCCGGTTATTTCTACGACAAGGTAGCGATCGCGGGCTCTGGTCTTGTTCCGATCGGCATAGAGGTAGACTAAATCACCTACAGCAACGCGGTCAGTGGGGGTGCTCTTTGGGATAGGTGTCTTTGACTTCTCACTGTGGGGGTGGTTAGACAACCGTTGTGTATGTTGTCGTAGGATGATGTCCTGGTCTTGTAGGGGGATCTGCTGGTTTGTGAACTGATCACGTTGGGTCCACATCTCTCTTGCGGAAAGACCACGTGAGCGAAGGCGCGCGTTTAGATTGGCTGTGACCACGGCGAGTTGCACGTGGTTTACTGGACCGCCTAGTGGATCATGGCGGAGTAGTTCGCTTTCGACCTCCTGTACTGCCCGCTCTGCAATAGGGTTCTTGTTTCTGTTTTTGGCGTCGCCGATCTCAAGGGTGATCCTGTGGTGTTTCAGTAGTTGATCATCCCTGAGTGCTTTGAATCCTGGGGCTGGGTCGGTACGTATGACGGCTGTTGGTCCATCTAGTGGACGTAGTTGGACACAAAGACGGATAAGAGCGTCGCGCAGAGTGTTGTGACGCTCGTCTTCCAGCAGGGTTGTGGCTGTAAGCGATGTCACGCACTCACGTAGTACAAGCACAAGTTGTCTTGAGCGTTTGATGACATCTGCGGCAAATGATACGCCAACTGCGTCGGGAGGGGGGCAGGACGACTGCTCCACGCGCATTTTCGGAGTTTGGCGTAGAGAGGCACAGATGTGGCAAGCTTGGGTCACGCGGTCGATGGCCTTGTGTATGTCTAAGGCATATAGGTACCGGTTGGTTACAGCCTGGAGTTGATGGCTCGACGGATGGGTGAGCTGTATGTGTAGGGCTGTCAGCAGTCCATCAAGCACTTGTCGAGGGACAATGATGCACTCGCGGCTAGGTACAAGGGGTTCATCACGCCGGACAACGAGCAAGCCATCGTTTGCAATGGTAGCGACGTTCAGGTATCGTTTAACATCTTTTATGTTGGTAAGTTTCTTCGAAGGGCGTGTCCCTTGTTGTAAGTGGGCGCGAGTACGCCGCAGATCGGCACATTCGGCCTGAATGGCTAACCAGGCAGTGCGGCTGGTGAAGGGTAGGCGCTCATCACCACGCAGTATATCCTGTACCGATGTGTTTCTGACAACGGAGTCTTGGGTGAGTTTTGTGAAGGCGCAGATCTGGCAGGCTTCGTCTTCGCAAGGGGGTGCGTTGCGGCTGGCGAAATCAGAGGGTAGGATCGCAGATCCGGATACATGTCTGACGGACGCTTGATACCGGCTCACGGTTGATAGAAAGGTGGAGACGCGAGGGCTAGCGGAAAACTCCCCGCGACAGAGTTTTTCAAATGCCTGTACGCACGGTTTGCTGTCGGTTAGGATGCAGGCCTTGTGAAGGGATTGGATTAGGTACGGGCTGAAGTGCTTGGTGGCAACGGCAATAGCTAGGGCCTCCACCTCACACGGTAACCATGTCGGTTGCGAGCCACGTAGCTTTGTGCTAAAGAACCCTGCCAAATGAAGTTTGTTGTCACGGGTGACGTAAAGCGTGGCTCCTATTCCAGGCTTACGGACCGCCCCGTCGGTCACAATCCACAACTGGTCACTTGGTTTGGGTAGCGAGATGGTGCGAGCAGTGGAGAGGGCTTTCTGGGCATGGAGGAACGAAGTTCGGAGGTCGTCTGACCATTGTATGTGTTCTTTAGATTCGCGGCCAGCTACGGTGTCATCAAGTTGTGCAAGGAGTGACGAGCACCCGGGAATTACGCGGGAGAGCACCTTGTATGCTCCTATGAATGATCGCATGCGGCCAACGGTTTCGGGTTCAGGACACGAGGCGAGGGTGGCGATGCGGTGAGGGCTTGCTCTTAAAGTGCCAGCGTTCCAAATCCATCCCAGTATTGTTGTGGACCGAGGATTGATGATCGTCTTCGATGCGGAGAGGCGGAGGTCACACTTGTGGAGGGCTGCTAGAACCTTCCTCCAGTTTCGTAGGAGTTCTTGTGGCGTGTTTCCCCCACAGTATAGATCGTCTGCGATTTTGGCGACGACGCCTTCTTCTAAAAGGTGACCAAGGACGCGACACATAAGTTCTTCCAGTGCCGTTTCAGAGCCGGGTATGCCCATGGCCGACCGTGTGTATACGCGCACTCCCCGGAATGGGGTAGCTACCCCACAGTACTTCATGGAGGCACGCGAGAGGGGGATTTGGTAAAAAGCGCTGGTCAAGTCCGATGCGATGATGTGTTTCCACTGGGCGATATGGCGTAACGTGGAGTCCACATCTGGCATGAGTGAAGGTTGTGGCTTACTATAGCGGCCGACATCAGCGAATGCAGTAACTAGGCGGGAGCCACCATTGGGTTTCTTGACGAGAAATGAAGGGTTCAGGTACTCGACCGTGACGTTTATGTCTTCGGGGCGACTGAAGACACCCAAAGCTTCAAGTTCGTCAAATTTCTGCTGGAGCTCCACTAGCTGGTGACGGGCATACTGTGGTAGACGGCCTTTCCGCTGGGGGGGTTCTACAGGTCCCATGTTGACTCTTGCTTCGAACGGACCTTCCGCACCATTGTAGCCCTTGATGTTTGGGTCGAACACGTGGTCATACTCGTCCAACAGCGAAGTGAACTTTGCTCTTATATCCCGGGGAAGTAAGTTGTCTGGGTCAAGGCGTACGGCTGACGAGTGTTTTGTACCTGGGATAGGTACTGATGGTTTGGGAGGTGGCTTGGCTGTTGGGGGTGAGTTGTCGCCGAGGGGTTCTGGTGTGAAGGTGGCGCGTACCTGGCAGAAGTGCTCATTTCGCTTGAGGAAGTGCGGCTCGGATGAGAGATTGGGAATACGTATCTTTCCTGCCACGCTAGAGACTATGCGTGGGGTGGGCCACAGTTGGGAAGCTGACAACTGCCTAACGCTGGGGGCATCTGTTCGAGGCTCTAAGGCGTATTCGGAGTCAGTGGGGACGTCGTGTGGTAGGTCGACTTCAACAAACTCTCCGGGCCAGACGGTCATTGACGTGGGGGGAGAGCGGAGTACTATTGCACGACGTGCGGCGGGGTTTACTGTAGCCGGGTGTGGGGACCCGTAACTGACGATGGAACCGTTGTGGAGGATCACTTGGCGCTTAGCTGGGCGTACTGCAATATCGTTGGTTTCCATAAAGGGGGTGCCTGCCAGTATGTCCACGTCGAGGTTCTCAACGACGAGTCCTTCGAAGGTGAAATCTCGGCCTTCGCGGCTTAATAAGAAGCGTGTCTCACCGACGACCTGAAGGGGGGATGAGCCGTCTGCTTGGTGGACGGACTGGGAGCTAGATGTCATGTGGCAGCCAAGACGTTGGACGACAGTGTGGCGGATCATGTTTCCAGTAGCCCCACTATCGATGGTGATTCGTACGGGGTAGTGGGAGTAGAACATGTCTAGGTACGGTGACTGGCGGGTTTGTATGCGGAAGACCTTAGGGCCTGGGCCAGGCCTAGCGTCGTCGGTGTCGCTTTCTGGGTCGGTCATGTCGGGTGTGGTCTCAGGTTCATGGGGAGCATCAAAGATGTCGGCGATCTGTCTGGCCTTCGCGATGTATTTGCGGTCTTGGTCTGGAAGGAAATTGCATTCGCTCAAGAAATGGTTGTCGGGGCGACCTGCCTGTTTGCAAAGGGGACAGGACTTAGTGGGGCGGCTGGGTCGTGTAGTCGCCTTATACGGGGTTTTGACGCCGAGAGGTCTGCGGTAGTTAGTGACAGCGGT